AATAGAGGCCATTGTTCAACACAGATAAACTCATTTGAGAGCCAGTTGAGGCAGGAAATATTGTACTAACAGCAGTGTGTAGAATTGGGAGTAATCAAAGGGTTTGTTTTAAAGTCTTTATAAGTATGATTATTACTATAACTATTTACCCTAATGTAACTTTTTGGTTGACTAGTGAGAGTAACTTCCAAAGCCTCCAGGATATCTCTTCCTAGAAGAATGGTGCTGATGTTGGCCTCAAGAGGATGCATCATGCCTGTAGACCCATCAGGGTCCTACTATTTATAGGCTTTTTTTGGTGTTAAAGGCAGGGGAGCATCCTCCTATTTCTAGAAGTTAGCAGAGGCTATTCTAAACCTGTAGAGGGCAAGTTGTGTCTACCAGGGTGAGTGTACACCCTTGGCTGGGACTCGGGTGCTGGGGATACCTTATTTGCATAAGGAGGAATTCCATGTGCCACTGGACATGACCTTATAAGAGAAAGGGAAATTTAACCTGGCTACTGGGCTATGTGATCTCTTACCATCTGCAAAGTTGAGAGTGTAGGCCTGACGGAGTGGGGTAACTGATCCTACTCCTGCTGAACTCAGGATAAGATTTTCATGTTTTTGACATGTGCTAACCCCACTCTTACTCCACACCTACTCTCCATGGCTCGATGTCTCCCCAGATTCGCATGCACTAGCAATTGAACCCTGGTTTTCTGCAATAGTATCCAGTGCTCTTAACCACTAAACTGTCTCCCCAGAAGCAATTATTTTATGGTTTAGTATTAGTTCAACCTAAGAATGAAAATATGTGTTGGCAGCTGTGGTAGTTTGAAATGCCTCCCCCATTTAAATAGTTGGTCCCCAGTTAGTAAATGTTTTGGCAAGGGTTAGGAGGTGTGGCCTTGGACAAGGTTGTCACTGGGGGTGGTCTTCAAAGTTTAAGAAAACTTGTGCTATTCCCAGTGTGCTCTCTGCCCTCCCCTTCCAGTTTGTGATGTAATTTCTTCCTGTTGCCATGACTTCACTCCACCATCATGAACGCTAACTCTCAGGAACTCAATTAAATACTTTACCTTCTAAGGTGCCTTGGCCATGACATCTTATTACATGGATAGGAAGGTCACTCATGCAACAGCTCATGTCAGAACATTCAGACATACCATACTGGTTTGAATAAAAATGACTCCTATAGACTCGTGTGTTTGAATGCTTGGTCCACAGAGAGTAGCAGTATTGAGAGATTGGCCTTTCTGGAGTAGGTGTGGCTTTGTTGGAGGGGGTATATCACTGTGGAGGTGGGCTTTGAGGTTTCATACATTCTCAAGCTGTGCCCTAATTATCATGAACAAATAAACACCACATTGTAACACAGTTTTTTCTTGTAGCTTTATAAACTGACATCTGTGTCTTTTTATTTAGAGGCAGCCCATTGTCCCTCCTTCTCCTTATCCCTTTTTCCCTTCCTCTTCTCCCTCATTCTCTATTTCCTGTGTTTGTGTCTTATGCCCTGGCCTTTTTCCCTCTGTGGCAAATAAATATTTGTGTTGAGAATTTAGTCTTGGGGCTCCTGAGCCAATACCGTTTTTTTATGATTTTAAACCAAGATACGTTCATAACAATAATTAGCCATCCCAATTCTCCCAAGTCATAAGATGTTGGGAGCCAACTCTGAGCAGAAAGCGGCTATGATCTTTGCAGCCATCTCGAGCCATATACCCTGACAAGAGACTTGTTTTCAACAGCCTACAACAGCTGAGCACACTCTGATAAATATGTTTTTCTCACATATCTTGTTTTGTTGTTTAGTGCCCCCAGCTGCAAGATGCACGTGGTAAAGTGTCTTCAGCTGTGTTCCCCTGCTTATGCTTATATATACCCATGATTTCCCTTCATTAAAGGAGAGACTTGAGGAGAGAATAGACCAGACTCTGTCTCGTTTCTTTGCGTCTCTCATCCCTCTGTCCCAACTCTATCTCTCTCTCTCGCTAGACCCTGACCCACAGATTGGAGCAGCAGAACAGGCAGTTACAAAGTGGCCCCCAAATGTGGGGCAGCCGGGCAGTTACAAAGAGATATAAGAGGAGGGTTAGAAGCCAGAAAGTATGCTATTTTAAACTTTTAGAATTATATTTTTATTGTGTTTGTATACCATGTCCTTATTTGTGTGCCTGTGTATAGGTTCTTGTGTGTGTGTGTGTGTGTGTGTGTGTGTGTGTGTGTGTGTATGTATCTTACACTATGTAAATTAGAAATTAAGAGCTACATTGATAAACCAAGAGAAAATTAAATCAATGGACAAGAGATACACTAAATTACATTTTTATAAAATGAAATATAGCATCTATGAGAAATAGTTTTGTGTTTGGCACATTAACGTTGGTTGATCCATATCAGGAAAACTGTGACACTAAGTGTGGAAACTTATAAAAATATAGAAAATGCAAACACTATGTTATGATTACAGTTATCTTTGGGGCATTCTTTAAGAATTTTATAAGTTTCATTTTTTATTCAACCTCCCATGCCTCCTTATTTCAAACCCATTCAACATTGTGCTCATCATTTTAAATCCATCAGGTCCAAACTGCTGCCCACATATTCTTGGATATGGAACCATCCACTGAAACCTGGTCATCATATCACACCCTTAAATAAAACTAATTATTCAACCTGAATCTATCAGTTATCAATAAATCCTCAACTCATGGTAGGATTTCATATTTTCTACACCCATCCTCTCCCTGCATGATGACATTTTCTCTAGCTTGAATTTCTATGAGTCTTGTGCAAGTGAAACCCAAAAGGACTGTAAGCTCATATGTGCAATTTTCCAGTTTTGTTTAGAAAACATCATTTTGTAATGGTCATCCATCATCTTTGTCTCATATAATCTATCCATTCCTCTTTGGCAACAGACCCTCAACCTTGGGAGGAGGGTCATGATTTTGATGTTCCATTTAAAACTGAGTATCCCACAGTCTCTTGTTTTCTACATATTGGCCAGGTATGGGTCTCTGTGTTAGTCACATTTTACTGCAGAAAGATGAGGGTTGAGGGATGCAGTAATCTCGCTATGGCCACAGTACCCTGAAAATGTCAGTGCTTCTCTGATTTTAGAAGCTAAGAAGAGTCAGGCCCGGTTAGAACTTAAATAGAAGACATACATTGATCTGTAGTTATAATGACAAATCACTCAGAGTTGGTTTAATACTATGTTCATTTAGTGTAATAGTACTTGGTTTTCTCATAAGACTTATGAGCTGTCTAGTCACCAGCTCATGCTCTTAAACATCTGTACACGTATAATGTATGTAGGACAAACAGGCAGTGGTTATAAATGCTTTTAATATGAGTGTTTAGGAGGTAGAATCAGGGAGATCTCTGAGAACACGATCAGACTGGTCTCAGAGCAAGTTCCAGGACAGCCAGGGCTACACAGAGAAACCTTGCCTTAACAGCCCCTCCTAAAAGCTTGAGGGATAAAAAAAAGAGTATGAGAGGTAAGCTGGATCTGCATGTCTTTGAGGCTGACACAGAAAGTTCAAAAATGGAAGTCCAGTTAGTGCTAGAAGAGAACTTTCCTAGCCTTGTCCAGCTCCTATCACTGAGAAACAAACATCCTCAATATAATAAATTCCCAGAGGGCCTACCTTACAAGGTCACTAAACAAAAATCTCCATATTAGGTGTGAACAGTATTCAAACTATGATCTGTTATGGGCAACCCAGTGTGGCCAGCAACTATGGCCTACTATCCCAAAGATCACAGAGTGTTGTAAATGGTTCCTGTAAGAGGCTGCTGGGAACTGATGAAGGATGAAGGGACTCAAAACAATTAAATTAGTAAAGAGATAGTATTATACTGTTAAGGAAGTGCTAGGGATTAAATTTGTTGTCAATTCTACAGCAATAATCTCTTCCACAAAAATCATAATAATACTATAATATCTTCTTCATAAAGAAGAAATCCTTTATTCTCATTCTTTAGATAGAAGTGTTGTGTAAGGGAAGACATATAGTTGGAAAAGAGACATAATAGGGAGACATGACGTTTTTCATGAGGAAAATTGATACATCTGAGACCACATATCATCATGCACAAGTATAAAGTTCTTGATGAAAGAAAAAAAAAATAAGAAAAGAATTTAAACAGCAAGGAACTTGAAATCCAAAGTAAAAGCTCCTCCCAGGATCACCTATCCCAAAGTAAAGGCTTCCAACAACAGGGTAGTAGACCCAATTCAACAGAAAAGTATCAAGAAGGGGTGGGCACAGTGTTGCATGCTTTATCACTCTTTCCCCTTTACTCCAGCACTCAGGAAGCAGAGTCAAACAGATCTCTGTAATTTCAAGGCCAGCATAGTGCATTCCAAGACAGCCAAAGGTATATATATATAGAGAGTGACAGTGTCTCAAAAAAAATAAGGCATGACTGTAGAAATATCCAAACAAATCAAAAAGGATACAGATTAACTGATCAATTAATTGCAAGAAAGCACAAAATGTAAACAAATTAATGAATCAATACAGAGTAAGTTTTGATAATTTAATCAAGATATAGAAACATTGATCAAAATCTACATGCTACTGAAAATGAACATTTGTATACGTCTAAAACCCTGTGGAAGCCTTATGAATAAATTGGGTCATGCATAGGATTGTGTTATCAGGGCTTGAAGGCCAGATAGAGAACTTGGATCATTCAGTCAAGAACAAACATTAGTTAGCAGAAATCTCAACTTGGAACATCCTTCCTTAACTACATGTCAACCCTGCAGAATTCAGGAGCCCTAGGCAATGATGCTGTGTGGGTTCCTTCACACACATTGGCACATTATTTAGCCTTTGAGAAATAGCTATTTCTACCAATAGAAATTTGTTGCACGAAATTTCTCCATGTTATCACTGAACTTAGTTGGGTTCTAATCATAAGTCTCAAGCTGGGATCAACCACCCATCCTTAATAAGGCAATTAAAAGAACTGAAAGAATACTTGTAAGTAAACAGATGTTTAATTGTAATATATAGTATTGGAAGAAGAAAAGCACATGTCCAACTTTTGTCTTTGATTCTTCGACATCTGTGGTGTGCTTGCTGGTCTTTGATTGTCTGAAGCCTGTCTTCCACGTTCTGAATTGAGAAGGACATTTAAATAGAAAACCAATGACAAGTATGTCTAAGCAGTCCCAACCAAGGTATAAACCCGCTTACCCCACCCCATCATTGGCTAGTTTCAATCCCATCATATACTGTGGTGCAGTAAGGTGAAATTTCTTTCCAAAGAGAAAGTTCCCCTTTGGGTAAGGCCTCTTCTTTCTCTCATCATGAAACACCTGGGGAGTTTCTCTTTTTGAATGGGAGTTCATTGTTTCAATCATTTGATGGGATGAGAGATACAAATGGCTCTTAAAATACCTTCCTTTCTGCCAAGCAGACTATAATGTGCAAAAATTATTAGGTATAGCCAGGATATAAGAACAATTCCCTCAAGGATTTTTTTTTGTATTCACAGAAAGACCTTATATTAATCTCTGAGTGCTGAGGGGGTCCCATTTTGATTAAATGTAGAAGTCACAAGTTGGCTAGAAGCTAATGAATCCATGAACGGGGGGAAATCTGTGCATGGGTCCTATTGGGGACAGCACTGTCCAGAGGGCACATGTGAGTGTAAGATCTCTCTCCTGTGTAAAATAAGAAACGTCCCAAACATTCCAACAGTGTCAAATGTCATGTTTAGAGTCTATTTAGAAGATATATGTCCTGGACTTTCTGAACAGTTAGGCACAGAGAGACAGGAACAATCCCAGTGTGAGAGACACTTTCTTTCTTCCTCTTCCTAAGAGCCAGGAATCACAAAGCAAGTTGAATCAACTGCTTCCAGAATATATAATATAATGGAACTAATCAGGATTGGAGTTTTAGATTGCATCACTGGATCATAGGAGTCACCTTGAGGCAGTGTTACAATATGAGAAGTAGGTACATATGATAAAGCCATTAGACAGCACTGCTTGTGTCACTTCTTTCTGGGAAAAGTCCATAAGTCACCGGATGACCATGAACCACACTAGGAGAAAGATGGCATCAAAAGTGAAATGGAGGTAAGAAGCAAGACTTTGGGGCTGGCAGCTTTGTCTTTCTACCTTTAGTCTCTGAGGAGTCAATATAGAGTTGCAATATGTGTTTCTGTCTGTCTCTTGGATTATTACAGACACCAACATCACAGAAGTCAAGATACATGGACATAAACACAAGAGGGACTCCTTCACACTATGTGTGTGTGTGTGTGTGTGTGTGTGTGTGTGTGTGTGTGCATGCTTGTGTGTGTGTGTGTGTGTGTGCGTGTGTGCATGCGTGCATGTGCGTGTGCATGTGCATGCTGTAGGGTGTGGGCATATTAGGGAGCCCAAGAGGAACATATTTCTTCTGATTTCTACACCAGGAACCAGAAAAGGCAGCTACTGAGGTGGGAATGTAAGGAGATCAATGAACTGTGCAAAGCAGGGACATAACTATCTGGATGAACGGACAGGAGATTAGTGGCAGGAAAGGTGTAACAATAGTAGAAATGTGAATGCAAGCAACAATGGGAGTCCGAATAACTACAAAGACTCCAAGGAGCAAAATCTAATTGTCTACTTGAGCGTGTCACTCCAAGTAGCCTCCAGGATGAGTAGAGAGTGGGCACTGTCAGACATACTAGGACTCTACATGTAACTTTAATGTCTGGAAGGGTTCTAAGTCATCCATTCATAAACTCATCAATCTATGCCCACAATCCATTCATAAATCAACCTAACACCACCCATTTGACTATTTATTACTATTTCCTTTCTTGCTTCATCCTAAATGTATTGAGTGAGCATCACACTAGACCGTGTGACATGTGGGATCTTAATAGAGGAATAAGAAAAAGCCTTGTCCCTATGCTTCAAGAGAAGTGAATCAATAACAATAAGAAATCTATGATCTGAAGCTCAGTGCATTGGAGTAAGAGAATTAGGCTGGAGGGAGATTCAGAATTCAATTAAGTGTTTATCTCAAAGTCAAAACTGACTGTCAATTTGTTGCTTCCATTGCCTGTACCAGACACTCGCTGTGAGACATTGATGACTAAGGTGAAAATTTCTGAACCCACAGCACTCCTCTGACTCAGAGATACTTGATAAGACATCCTAAAATAGATACGTTTGAGCTGTGACATAGTCATTTTGTGCTTCTGATGAGATACCCATGGACTCTGTAACTTTTATTCAACAAGTGTCTTTACTGTCTCTAGATTCCCTACAGTACGTATACATGGTAACTTATCATTTCCCTATCTGTAAATGAAGCTCAAATATTATTGATGTCCTAAACTTGAGACTGAAGAGCTGTTAAAATCAGGGGTGCATGTTATAATTTGCATAAAAATGAGAATTTCCTAGGCTGAACTGAGGATAAGCAGTTGCCAAGAGGACCTATGCTCCATTGGATATCTAAACTTTCCTGTGAAATCTCAAGACTATCAGGACAGTCAGTATGTTGCATGGCCACCTGTCCAGGTGTTCTGTCCATTCTGAATCTCAGGAAAAGAAGATGCCCAAATGACCTAGCCTAATCATGACTGTCATGACAGTTACTGAGTTGTTCCACATATTCCAAGACTCGGATGCAGAATGGCAAATTACTTCTACCCAGCTCTAGCAGGTAGTCAAATTCAAGCAATGTCACCAAGCTTTCTTAGGGCCATGTTCATGAGGAAAGCACAGAGAATCTGAGCTGAGGATGACATCCTTGGATTGAGTTACCATACTACTGTCTATAGGTTCCAGTCAGATCAAGGCTTCTGATGTATTTCACTTTGGACTATGGTGTATGACTCTTACTAAATGCCCAATCCAAAGTGAAAGTACACAGTCCATATGGGAGGAAGTTATAGTCCAAGCCTCACTGTCTTAGGTATACAGAGAAGAATAAGCCCATCACCCAGGAGTCACTTACTGTTTACTTGGAGGTCAAAAATGGCACACTCTGATTTCAAATCTACAGGTATGGTCCGTATGGTGTAAAGCCCCGTGTCTTTCTGGGTGACATTCAAGAGCATCAGGGATCCATCATTGCATATTGTCAATCTGTCCAACAATCCATGCCCCATCAGAGTTGAATTGGTGAGGAATGAGTAGCTGGCTATCTTAAAATGGTCAAGTGGAAATACTCCTTTGTGCCAGACAAAGCCTTGAAGCTTCTCTGGCAGATTATGAACCAGCAGAATAATATTGTCATTTTCTTCAACCCTGGATGGCACCAACTCAATTGTGAGTTGAGAAGGAGTAAGGTGATTCTTGTTGCCTAAAAGTGGGCCTACATGAAAAGAAAGGAAATAAAATAGAAATAGACCATCAAAAGTGATTCCTCTGAATTTGGTGGGAAGATGTATCTTTGAGTCCTTAGCAGATGTATCTATCACTTATCCTTGGTGTGTGAATGAGGGCATGTCTATCTTACTTGGTGGAGTTCAGCAACACAAATTCCATGCCCTTGGTACTCTTGAACTTCTGTATGGGACTCTTCCCTCATCTGTCTGCTTGACTCACCCTTCACTGCCCTCAGATGTCTGCTCAGACCCACAGTGTTTGGAGGAAGATACGTTGCCCAGCATCTTCCTCAACAGAAACTAGGTCTACATACAGCCGTATTTTGCACTGAAACTTTTATGGTGCATTCTCAATGCTATTGCTCATGTCTCTTGCCATCCAGTAGAAGACTTTGTGGCCTCTGATCAAAATCATAATCTTGGAATCAGGCCTAGAATGGGCTCAATCGATAAATGAATGAATGAATGAATAGATGGATATGTGCTTCAGATCACTGTATGTCCATGCATTAAGTTACCACATTCTAAGGTTATAAGATAATTATAGTTTTCATACCCCAATTTATTTTTATTGACTCTTTGCATTGGGGAAGGGAACATGCACTCAAGCATGTATCAGTATATGGGTAAGTTGGTGTATGGGACAGTATCTATGTATAGGTCAGAGGACAGCTTGTGTGACTGAGTTCTCTCCTTCCATCGTGTGGGATATGAAGATTCAACTCAGGTTACCAGGGATGAAAGCAAGTGCCCTTATCCACTGAGTAATCTCAGTTTACTTTTCATTTGAAAAGTGATCTTGTCATAGGTGGAGACATTAGCCTTCAGAATATACTTGCCAAGATAGTTAATAAACTAGGTTAATGAACAATCAAACTTTTCTCTCCCCATCTTACCATTTTCTGTTCACTGGGACCTATCACCTGCTGAGATGCTGTCTCTCTTGCTGTGGGCTCTCATCTCATGTTGAAAACAGAAACCCTGAGTCTCCTCTGAAGCCCTTATCCTTTCCTGGAGACTCCAGACAATCACTCAGCTAACTTCCTCCCTCCCAGGGATAGGGAATGGTGTAGGTACCGGTAGCAGGATAACCTGCCACTGTGAGTACATTTGCATGGATATTAAGGAGCCAGCTCTATAGTCTTTGATGTCTCTTCTGTTCTCACTCCTTGAAAAATACTTTCACTTCCAGCTGTGCCTCTGAACACTGTTGCTCTGATATCAGCACTACTGTCCTACCTCACTCTGAGCAGAGTCTGGGACAGTGCCTGGATCAAGGGTCACTGAAGATTTCATAGTTTCCTCATCTCTTCCACAACTCAGGTGGAGGTTCATGGTGAGAGGCCCAAGAGTCTGGCTTGAGGTTGATATCCTTGTCTGAGTTACTCAGCACAAGTCCTTTGCAGGTACAGTAAAGTGAGAGATTCTGATCTATAAAAGTTTGTCTCCAAAATGCATGTCCTGCACTAAATCCTCAAACAAAAACAAGAAGACACAGTGTATAGGGGATATAGACAGCTCAGACCTGACACTTCTCTGAATGTACAATGGGATGCACACTACCTAACAACAGATTTCACAACAACAAATTACTTACTCTGTACAAAGAATTCTGCACGCATTATTTCAGGTCTTGAGCTTGTATGAAGTATTTGTAGGGTGTAGTATCCAGAGTCTTTTCTGGTTACACTCTTGATCAGCAGAGATCCACTGTTGAGTACTGTCTCTCTATGACTGTTTGCAGGTCCCACCACACTAGAATTGGTAGCTATATCATGTCTTGCAATTTCAAAAGACTTGAGTGGTTTATCTCCTCTGTACCAGGAAAGGGCTTTAACATTCTTTGGCAGGTTTTTCACAAACACAAGAACATTTTCCCCTTCAATAGCAATGGGAGGCACTGATTCAATGGTAAGCCGGGCAGTAGTGGGAAGTAGCCAGCAGGTTAAAAGGGAAACTAGAAGGGAAGAGAGAAAATTCATGAACATTGAGACCTCTGTATTTGATGGAAAGATGAGATCTGTGTCCTGAGTGTCCATGCTCAACACTCGGCCTAGCTGGATAGGTGAGGATGGCAAAATTGTACATTGAAGGGAATAACAACATAACCTACACTCCATTAGTGACCCTGGATCTGTTTCTTTATGTGTATGGAACTCTCTTCTTGGTTATCTCAAGGACTCTCCACATTGTTTTCAGCTTCCTGCTCACATTCTGAGTACTTGGACAGAGAAGATGTTTCCTATTCCCTCTTACTCTACAGATTCTCACTTTCTTTATAGTCTCTGTTCTCTCTTTGATATAAGTTCTCTGATTCTACTTCTAGATGGTCTTCCTTGTCTAACTTACAGGCTACTAGTCTAGGGCTTTATTAGAACCAAGATGAGCCTACATCTTTGGAAGGCCCAGAACTGATAAAGCCTTGGACACCTTTGGATGAGTGAGAGAATACATGTGTCAGGGATATGCATATCCAGGGGTATATTTACAAATTGCTAAAATATGAAGCTAAGAACATCTTTAGTACAAGATTTTGGTATAGTTTGTATGTATGGGCAAGGTGAATGCCTGTATATGTTTGCACCTGTGTGTATTTGTGTATAGGTGAATGTGTACACAGCATATACATGGAAGTCAGGACACCTTGTATGTATTTGGAAGTGAACTGATGATTTAGGTTTTTCAGCCATCAGCATTACCATTAAGTCATCTCAATGGTTCTCCCTAGTTTGGTTTTTAATTAGACAGTCACTCTCTGATGGTTGAAAACATCAGTCCTCAGAATATAGTTGTCCATGTGATTAAACTGGAATAGAAAACAATGGAGCCATTTCTCCATTATACTATCTTGTGTCATTTCCTCCTGTGGTTTGCCTGCCACTGTCTGTGTCCTCTTCCCAAAACCCCGAGTGTACCCCCAGGTTCTTGTCTCCCCAGGGACTTTAACAAGGCTCTGAGCTCCCCTTTCTCCCACTCAGTCACAAATAGTGGCCTCCTCACCTGTGAGAATGAGCCCCTGCCAGGAAGTACAGTCATTACTGGAAAGTGCAACAGAGTCCATCATGACCTCTCCCTCCTGCCACCTGCTCTGTGTTTCCTCTGTGAAAAGCTTCAGCTCCTGTGCTGTTTCCACACTGTGCTTTTCTGTCAGTTCTGCTGCCTTTCCTCCCTTTTATCTGAGTCTCTTTCAAGGTAGGGGCCCTTCTAGAATTACATGGCCTGGAGACAATTTTTGTGTACAAAACACATCAGCTCATTTTTCCCTAACTCCTGTTCCCTACCATTCTCCCCTTTTCTCTCATTATGTCTCAATCCACCAGACTGCACATTGAGCAATAAAGGTGATAAGACTCCTCAATCCTTTTATGGCCTTATGTGGACATATGGTACTGTGGGATTTGCATACAAACAGAAAATCATGAAGGATACAAATTAATATGTTTTTTATTTTTCCCAGAAAACTTCTTGTTCTAACTTTCTGCTGCTATGCTAAACACCCAGAACAAAAAGCAGATAAAGAGAGCAAAGCATTTACAGGCCTGACTCAGAGGTCAAATTAATCCTTGAGGGAAATCAAAGTACACATAAAAGACACGAATCTGGAGTCAGAAACTGAGGAGGAGAGCTTTTTTTAAGGGTCACTCACTGATACTCTCACTTTTCGATGTCCTTTTCTGTGTCTGTGTGTTTCTGTCTCTGTTTCTGTCTTTCTCTGCCTCTGTGTCTCCCCCCCTCTCTCTCTCTGCCTCTCTCTCCTTCTCTCTTTCTTTTTCTCTCAGGGGTACATGGTTCATTATCTTTCTGAGACCACTCAGAACCACTTGCAGAGGGATAGCACCAACCACAGTGGTGTCTGCCCTCCTATTTCAATTAAGATACTCAATAGAATCCTCCACAGATTTCTTCAAAGTGCTCTATAAAAGATACTGACTCAACTGAGTCTCTTTTAGCCCCACTTGTGTGACTTTAGGCTGTGTACATTTGACAGTAAAGGCTAATTACAACTGGAAGCTCCCTGTTATCCAAGGAAGTGCCCATCACTGTTGGCTGTGACCATCACATGTGTGACTGTCTACAGCCTCAGGCAGCTGGACCTTCAGAGAACAGACTCAGTTCAGAAGCAACCCTTCCTCAGGTTCACTTTCCCACTACCCTGATTTTTAAGCAATATCTGATTTGGTATCAACTCTTTGGTATCCATCAGTGACATTTTCATTCATGAGAAATGTAGTGAGATTAGTAGCATTCTTTTCAGAATGATCTAAGACAGGTTCAGTCTTGTTAATGAAATAAAAAAGGGAAGGATGAAGAGAGCATTTGGGACTCCTTGGCAGGCATCTGAAACTGACCAAGGACAAGGAAAAGGGCTTCAGACAGGAATCTGACATTAGGCAAGAACAAAGAAGTATTTTCAGGCAGGAATCTAAATATTAGGCCAGAATAATGAAGTAATCTTCAGACATGAAAATGACTTTGGACTAGGACTTTTGGAAGTAGGCTCAGATATTTTGGTCATCCTGATAAGCCCTTAGAAACAGTGATCACAGGAGTGGTCAATGGACATACATTATTGCCTTGCTTGTTCTTTGACTATTTTTGGTGATTGTCTTGCATGTTCCCTGACTTTTGCATTGGTAGCTCCTCAATCTAGAACTGTCTTTAATACTTGCATGTAATTAGAATGGTATAAAAGCAAATTGGGGGAAAATGACATCAAAGGTCTGTTAGTCACCAAGTGATACAGGAACAGATCTGGGAGCAGAGCTTGGAACTGCTTTTTGTTGCCCATCTACTGAACATTTTCATCTGTCATTTGACTGTCTATGAGCAGGTTTAAAAGTAGTGGGTGTTCCTCCTAGGTCAAGAAGGTCATAAAAGGAAATGGAGGAGACAGGAACACATGGTTTACTGACAGAAAAAATTCCACTTTCGTTCTTGAGGATCCTACCTTCCCCTATAAAGTTTCACTGTCTGCCTAATATATTCTCTAACTCTCCAGGTCAGACTGAACCTAGAAGAATCAGAAAGACAAAGAGAGAAGACAACTGAGAGCTACATTGAAGGCTTAGGATAATACTAAGACTTAACTGCACCCACACAGATTAGAAAACATTGTCTTCATCTTTCCAGAAAACCAAAAGACTTGACCCTAAAGCTTAGTGCAAATCCTCTCAGCAGAGGAGATAGTTTTGTTCCAGATAATCCTACTGATGCTGATGGTAGATAGAGCTATGGAGGAAGTAGGCATGAGGTCCTTGTTGTTTATGATGATGTTCTGGTAAACATGTTTTCATAAGGATCATGGAGAACACTGTCAATATGTCCATTTGAACTGTGTAGATGGCTGAGGGTAGGGAGAGGTTTGTTCCCAGGTAGAAATAAGGATCTAAAATGTTATTAATGAGGCATTAGGGCCTCGTCATGAAAACAGGAAAAAAGTTACTTCTGAAGCCACTTCTGATATCAAAACACAGCATGAGAAGAATCTGTTCAACAGCAAGCCACAATGTCTCTCTGGGCTAGGATACAACCAATTATGGATCCCAGTTAGAGGTCATGGTGAAGCTTAGATACCATACACATGGCCCTGGTTGGCCATAAATACAAAAAATCCTGAACTTTATTCTTGTGTGTTGACTAACATTGTGTCTGAGATGCCCATATTCCTCTATAACTGGGAATAACCTGATTCTACTGTAAAGAGGAATGGACCCGCAATCCCATTGCTGATCCAACCCTGGGCTGGAAAGTTTGGCGTGGGATAACAAAGGCTATGAATTTCAACCTAGGTGTTCATGTGGGTGTTTTGCTTCCTGAACCAATGAGGAACTGTGTGTTCATGGACTACTCTTGTGTTTAGTTAGTTGTGGTTAAAATCATGAAAGAAACAAATTTACTCTCAGCTATACTTTGAGTTGTTTCTGTCATTTCTACTGGCATTCACTGGGTTTTAGTTTCAGCACTGCTAAAGTCCTACGTAATTGATTGTGACTCAGGCTGCCATAGAAGGACCTGAGTTCTACAATACCATGATGCCCAATCTGTTCTATGTGGGAGAAACAGTCCATGTCACATGTAAGCTGACCCTAAGTGACTGACATTATAGACCTTAGATGAAGGCAGAGCTCAGTTGACACTCATTGTCCTTATTGACACACTGACTGCCTGGAGACAGAGAATTCTGTGTCCCTCCAGCTGCACTGATCACCACTCTCAAGCATAGCTCAGCAAAATTCAAGATTTTAGTATTAAAAGCTCTCTGAAAAGTAATAGTGAAAAAAAAATTCCCTTTAAGATTCTTGAGCAGCCCTAATACCTGTCTTCATGAGTTCATGTGTGTACAGAAACCCCACATGAGACTAGAATTCAGGTAACTATGCAGGATTGTTCATAAAAACCATGAGGTGTTTATTTTTTCTTTGATTCTTTTTTATTGAATATTCTATTTACATTTCAGATGATATCCTCTTTCCCCACTACCCCCCAGGAAAACCTATCCCATACCCATTGTGTGCCCACTCACCCACCCATACCCACCACCTCCCCACCCTCGAATTCCCCCACACTCGGCCTCCAGCCTTCATGGGACCAAGGATCTCCTCTCCCACCTATGTCCAACAGGGCCATCCTCCCTTGCATATACAGCTGGAGCCATGGGTCCCTCCCTATGTTCTCCCAGGCTGGCGGTTTAGACCCTGGGAGCTCTGGTTGGTTGGTATTGTTGCTCTCCCCATGGGGCCACAAACACTTTCAGTTCCTTCAGTCTTCTCTCTAACTCCTCTATTGGGAACCTCTTGATCAGTTCAATGGTTAGCTGTGAGCATCCGCCTCTGAATATGTCAGGCTCTGGCAGACCTCTAAGGAGACAGTGATATCAGGATCCTGTCAGCATGCACTTCCTGACATCCACATCAGCATCTACCTTTGGAGACTGCACACGGGATGGATACCCAGGAGGAATGGTCTCCAGAAGACCCCTCTTTCAGTTTCTGTCCACATTTTGTCTCCATATTTGCTCTCTTGTGTATTTTATTACTCCTTCTAAGAAGGAGCAAAGAACCCAAACTTCAGTCTTCCTTCTTCATGAGATTCATGTGGTTTGTGAGATGTATCTTGAGTATTGTGAGCCTTTTGGCTAATAGCCACTTATAAGTGAGTGCATAAGATGTGTGTTCTTTTGTGGTTGGGTTACCTCACTCAGGATGATATTTTCTAGTCCCATCCATTTAGCTATGAATTTCACTAATTCATTGTTTTAATAGCTGAGTAATACTCCATTGTGAAAATGTACCACATTTCCTGTATCCACTCCTCTGTGGAAGGACATCTGGGTTCTTTCCAGCTTCTGGCGATTATAAACAATGCTGCTATGAACATAGTGGAGCATGTTGTAATATGTTGGAGTATCTTCTGAATATATGCCCAGGAGTGGTATAGCCATGTCCTCAGGTAATGCTATGTCCAATTTTCTGAAGAGCCACCAGACTGATTTCCAGAGTGGTTCTACCAGCTTGCAAACTGACTAACAATGTAGGAGTGTTCCCCTTTCTCCACATGCTCATCAGCATCATCTCTCACCGTAGTTTTTGATCTTAACCATTCTCATTGGTGTAAGGTAGAATCTTGGGGTTGTTTTGATTTGTATTTCTCTGATGACTAAGGATGTTGAACATTTCTTTAGGTGCTTCTTGGCCATTTGAATTTCCTCAATTGAGAATTCTTTGTTTAGCTCTTTACCAAATTTTTAATAGGCCTAGCTAGTTGTTTGGAGTTTTATATCTTGAGTTCTTTATATAGATTAGATATTGGCCCTCTATCAGATTTAAGATTGGAAGTGCTTATTATAATCAGTGAGTTTCTGAGCAGAGAGAGTCCTATGTTAGCTGCAAGAAATACTGGGAGGCATAAAGCAAAGTTGTTTATGTTGCAGAAGTGACAGTAGCACACAAGAAAATAAATAATTTATGGTCTAGTGTGTTGAATTCTACAGAAAATCTTCAGGGTCATGGACCTTAGTTGTGGAATCAAATCTAACTGTCCATTTCCTTTTTGCTCCTGAACAAG